ATCAGAAAATGGTCCAGTTGCCTCAGGCAGATTTCGACTGGAAGAACCTTCGGTTCCAGGACTACAAATCCGTAGATGATTACAACAACGAACTCTTTCGTATTGTTGCCATCCGGAAACTCTGTGGCGAGGATGTGACAGATAATGATCTCCTCGAGAAAACATTATCCACATTCAGCACAGAGAATGTTGTGCTCCAACAACAATACCGTGCAATGAAACACACATTGTACGAAGACTTGTTGTCCTGTCTTCTCCTCGCTGAGAAGAATAACCAGCTGCTTATGAGGAACAGCGCTATGAGGCCCCCGGGATCGGCTCCTGTCCCAGCTTCTCGTCAAGAGTCCTACCATGTTCAACCCGATAGATCCTCAGATCACCGCCGTGGACGTGGTAATGGACGTGGTAATGGCCGAGGACATGGACGTGGAAGACGTGGACACGGACATGGTCGTGGCAACCGACCTAACCTCAGTTATGGTCCTGGTCGTGGTCGAGGCATCACCAAGCCGACCCGCCACACCAACCCCGATCACTCTGCTTGTACCAGATGTGGGATGTTCAACCACCCAACAAAGCAATGTCGCACCCCCAAGATCCACTGCGATCTATACCAGAAGTACGGAAAAGCTCCTGCTGAAGCCAACATGACTCACCCAGTCGATGCTGCTAACCTGGAAGGTGACGACCTCCTTGATGATGAGAACACCACAAACGAGCAGACCGACCCCATGGACTATGAAACAGCTGATCTCCTCGATTAATTCAATCATCTGAAACTCTGATACAATTTGATTTTGTTCTTTATTTTTTTCATTTTGGGATTTGTTTCATTTTGTTTTTCCATTTGCCTTTATTCTCAGACACTGCTTTACTTTATGATTTATCACATTTTCTGAATTCCTCAATACTGAATTCTATCTTCTATTCATAATGAAGCACACCAGCAAATGGAAACCATAGTCGTAGATAGTGGATCCAGCCACACTATCTTAAGAAACAAAAGTTACTTCATAAACCTAACCTATCAAACCGCAAATATTAGCACCATCGCGGGTCCCTCAAACCTTATCGAAGGATATGGCCATGCCTATGTGTTGCTATCAAATGGCACACAACTTGAAATACCAGATGCTCTATATTCTCCTAGTTCGAAGAGAAATCTTCTGAGCTTCAAGGATATAAGACAGAATGGTTTCCACATAGAAACCCAAGGTCAAGGGAACAAAGAATCCCTCCTAGTCACTAAAACCGTAGACGGCCATAAACAAATCCTCGAAACCATACCCGCGCTCTCTACTGGACTTTACCATGCTAAAGTCAGTATGATTGAAGCTAATACCACTCTCAAAGCCCGGTTTACTGATTATACTATTTGGCACGACCGGCTCGGTCATCCCGGTGCAAATATGATGCGTAAACTAATTCAAAACTCTCAAGGGCATACCCTCAAAGAAAACCGAGCTTATCCTCAACACCTCATGTGCACAGCTTGTTCTCAAGGCAAATTGATCACTCGGCCTTCACCAGTTAAAATCTCTAAACAAACACTTCATTTCCTAGAAAGAATCCAGGGCGATATCTGTGGACCTATACATCCATCTTCCGGACCATTCCGGTACTTCATGGTCCTTATAGACGCATCGACCCGTTGGTCATATGTTTGTCTCTTGTCCTCTCGGAACCAAGCCTTCGCTAGGTTCTTGGCCCAAATCATAAAATTGCGGGCCCATTTCCCTGACTTTCCACTAAAGACTATCCGCCTTGACAATGCTGGTGAATTTACCTCACAAGCGTTTAATGACTACTGTATGGCCATGGGGGTAACCGTGGAACATCCTGTAGCACATGTCCATACTCAAAATGGATTGGCTGAATCATTCATTAAACGCATTCAATGGATAGCCCGACCATTACTCATGAGATTAAAGCTCCCGGCCTCAGCATGGGGACATGCAGTATTACATGCTGCTGAACTCATACGCATCCGGCCATCTAGTGAACACAAATATTCCCCATCCCAACTACTCTCGGGTCATGAGCCAGACATCTCCCATCTCAAAACATTTGGGTGTTCAGTATATGTACCCATTGCTCCAACACATCGAACCAAAATGGGACCTCAAAGAAGGATGGGAATATATGTTGGTTTTGACTCTCCCACCATCATAAGATATCTCGAGCCAACCACTGGAGATCTCTTCAAGGCCAGATATGCGGATTGCCAATTCGATGAATCGGTATATCCCTCTTTAGGTGGTGAGACAAACAAGCTGGTCAAAGATCTTTCATGGAATCAAACATCATTAAATTGGCAAGATCCTCGGACTCTAGAATGTGATTCAGAGATCCAAAAGATTATTCATTATCAAAAGCTAGCTAATCAATTGCCAGATTCCTTTGCTGACCCGACCAAAGTAACCAAATCGTACATCCCAGCTTGTAATGCACCAGTACGAATAGCTGTCCCAACGGGACAGACCCAAGTTGCTACAGAGTCTGCACCACGTCTCAAACGGGGCAGACCTCTCGGTTCCAAAGATAAGAATCCCCGGAAATCAAAGAAAGGTGCAATAACCGAAATCGGGATTCCTGCAATATCAGACATAGCCGCGGCTGAGACTCAATCTAATGAACCCTCAATGGAAGTTCGGGACGCCGAATCTCCAGGTTCAGAAGATAACAATGAGATCTCCATCAATTACAATATGTCCGGAATACAATGGAATCGAAAAGAAGTCGACTTAAATGCACTCTTTGCATACAAAGTAGCACTTGATGTTGCGCTCACGCAAGAGGATCTAGAACCCACGTCAATAACACAGTGTACACATCGAACAGATTGGCTAAAATGGAAAGAAGCCATAAACGTGGAGTTAAAGAGTCTCAAACTCAGAAACGTGTTCGGTCCGATCATCCGGACCCCATCACACATCAAGCCAGTGGGCCACAAATGGGTCTTTGTGCGCAAAAGGAACGAACTCGGTGAAGTCGTTCGATACAAAGCACGGCTTGTAGCACAAGGATTCTCACAGAGACCCGGAATCGATTATGAGGAGACTTATTCTCCAGTGGTGGATGCAACAACATTCCGATTCCTCATAAGTCTGGCCATAAGAGAAAATCTTGATCTGCGGTTAATGGATGTTGTAACCGATATCTCTATGGGCCCCTGGACAACGAAATATATATGAGACTCCCAGATGGCATTGAACTAAAAGACAAAAATGCATCTCGAGATCAATACTGCATCAGGCTGAACAAATCCTTGTATGGACTGAAACAAAGTGGGCGTATGTGGTACAACCGCCTCAGCGATTACCTCATCAAAGAAGGCTACAAAAATGACCCCATCAGTCCATGCATCTTCATCAAGAAGTACTCAAACAAAGGATTTGTAATCATAGCAGTATACGTGGATGATCTAAACATCCTCGGAACATCTGGTGAGATCTCCCAAACAGTCGACTGCTTAAAAGCAGAATTCGAAATGAAAGACCTAGGCAAAACAAAGTACTGTTTGGGATTACAACTTGAGTACATCAAAGGAGGAATCCTTGTGCATCAATCGGCTTATATCGAAAAGGTACTCAAGCGATTTAATATGGACCAAGCTCACCCATTGACCAGCCCAATGGTAGTTAGAAGCTTAAGTGATGACCCTCTTGGTCCCAAAAAGGATGATGAAGAAATCCTTGGTCCTGAAAAGCCATACCTCAGTGCTGTAGGAGCGTTAATGTACCTGGCTAGTCACACTAGACCAGACATATGTTTTGCCGTGAACCTCCTCGCTCGATATAGTTCATCTCCAACTCAGAGGCACTGGAACGGTATAAAACATCTCCTAAGATACCTTCGAGGTACTCAAGACTTAGGACTCTTCTATACTAACCAAAATAAAGATGGGTTAGTCGGCTTCGCCGATGCAGGATATCTATCAGATCCGCACACTGCCAAGTCTCAAACTGGCTACGTTTTTACGCATGGAGGAACAGCCATCTCTTGGAGATCAATGAAGCAGACACTCACTGCCACTTCATCAAACCATGCTGAAATCCTAGCCATTCATGAGGCTAGTAGGGAATGCGTCTGGCTGCGCTCCATGACTCAGCACATCCGCAGAGATTGTGGTATGGACGAAGACACACAGCCCACGGTGATGTATGAAGACAACGCGGCATGCATAGCTCAGCTCAAGGAAGGATATATCAAAGGAGATCGGACGAAGCACATTCTACCGAAGTTCTTCTCAACCTCAGACTGGCAGAAGGACGGCACTCTCAGCGTTCAGCAGGTCCGATCCAGTGAGAATTCAGCTGACCTCTTCACCAAATCATTGCCTACTTCAACACACCGGAAGCTCGTCAAACAGATAGGAATGTATAGACTTAGAGATCTGCAGTGATGCTACAATCAGGGGGAGTAATGCGTGTTGTACTCTTTTTCCTTCACCATGGTTTTGTCCCACTGGGTTTTTCCTGGTAAGGTTTTAATGAAGCAACATTTCCCAGCGCATTATCGAGATCCCGATTGAGTAGCTGACCCGGTTCACTCGTCCAAGGGGGAGTGTTATAACACATATCATATATAGACTCTTATACCGGCCCATTAGGCCCATCATGGCATTGTACTTAACCTAGATTCCCTATGTACTCTATATATACATTCCAGTGATTAATAAAGTTTCCAAGTTTTCACAACATTATGAGTATTATCAATGGAAGGGGTTTTAATTAGCATTATTTTGTTGAATAAGGATTTTAGAAAATTATGAAAAAAAAATCTTTATAGAAATGAGAAATATTAAGTTATTTAATAGTTGTTTTATTGAAATAATAAATTTTCAAAATAACTTAATAATTGAGGTTTTATTTTTTATTTTCTTAGGTGTATTTTAGACTTGCAGAGTGTGAACAATAAGATTTTCAAAGCAACCCCTTAATACTATTTTCTTCGATGTAGTGGACCTTTTCTTTATTTTATTCCCGTACAGACCCAACCCTAATTCGTTTCATTCTCTCGTTTCTTCCCCACAATTCTCAACTTCTCGCGATACTAACCCTAGGGTTCCTAATTCCCCAGCTGCAAGATCGTCTTCGATTGTTTTGGTAAACAAATCTCTCCCTCACCATTAAATTCGTCTTGTCTAACGAAACGAGGCAATGGTTTTTAACTTGCCAAGTCAAAAAATCATTGTTCAGCAATGCGAATGTTCAATTTAAACAGACGATAGAGTTTTGTCAGTTTACGGTTTTGTATTTCTGTGTTTATGAATCGCTGTTGTGATTTAGAGGATAATGAATGTCTGAATTTCGTGAGATTCGACTGTTCTCTTACTGTCTTGTCTTTTAAGATTTGTTTTTTTTTTCTTTTTTTTTTGCTTAGGTTATGCCCAAAGTTTATCCCAATTTGGTGGTTTCTGACTCTTATTCAAAGACTGAAACTGCCTCTCTTGATCTCTTTTACTAAACACTTTGTCCCTTTAGTAAATGAGCAACTCTTGGTGATTAAAATTGAGATTAGTTTTTGATTGATTGTCTCTTGCAATTTAGCATGAAAGTAGAGCTAAAACATCACTTTTGCTGTGATTTGCTTTCCAGTTATCCAATTTAAACACTATCATTGCCAGTTTTTATTTACATTTCACTAAAATGGTCATCATTGTTGTCCTCTCTTGGCTTACTAGACTTACTTTTTACCAGCTACATATCTATTTAGGTCATATGACTTAATACAATACAGTTATCTTGTGTATCTGATTAATGTCTTTTTTTCGTTTCTTTCAGGATATTTGTAGGTATGGGGAAAGGTAAGCTTATATTGATTTGTCAATCTGGCGGCAAGTTTGTGACGGACGACGACGGGACAATGACATATACCGGTGGACAGGCAGAAGCGATAAATATTAATCATGAGACCTCTTTTGATGACTTTAAGCTAAAAGTGGGGAAACTCTTCAACTTGGATTATAATTCTTTGTCCCTCAAGTATTTTCTCCCGGGAAACAGAAGAACGCTTATCACCATGAAACAAGAGAAGGACATGAAAAGGATGTATGATTTCCATCTGAGCTCTGTCACAGCTGAGGTTTTTGTAACCGGAAAAGAAGGCTTCCACTCTGAACCAGTTGTGTCACCTGGTAACAGGTATAACCTCTTATCTAAACCATGCTTCTGCCAGGGAACGTAGTAGATACATAATGATGCATTTAATTTTGCAACATTTCAAAAATAACGTTTGATATGTGGTAATATTATCCCATCTAATATGGTATTCGAGTAAATATAATCCTTTAGGTCGTTATTCTGAGCGGCTGTCTATTTCTTCACGTCTCTGAAATGCTCGAGAAGTTTGTTTTCGTTTCTTACAAAACCAAAATTTCAGTGTTATTGTTTTTTAGTGTCTGCAAAACACCAAACTACCTCATTTCAGTTACATTTTTCATATAGATAACTTAGGTGCCCTGTTATACAGGCAGTTGTTGATCATTACCTGGGCTAATCGCTTCTGATCCAAAGTGGAGGAGCATTTGACATTTTCTAGAGAAAATAAATCTTAAATGTCTGTAAGCAATATATTGTTCTGCTGTGCTTTTGATCGATGGTTTGCATAATCTACGTCTATGTTTAATTGCAGGTTAAATAATATAGCAATCGGAACAGAGACTACACAGCTGGCATATGGGAATGTAGCCAATGTGCCCATTGAAGTTATGATAGGAACTCCTCAAGAAAACAACCTCGTTGATGATAATTTGAGATCTAGGAAGGTCACCCCTAGAATTACCTCTGATTCCGGTGGCCTTGTTGACATTCCCGTAACAATATCCACCGATCCAGTGGTACCAGCCAAAACAACATTTAAAAAACCCAAAAGGAAAGGTAAGAAGAGTCTTGTATCCAATATTTCCAAACTAACTCCCAAAAGTTCCAAAGAATCACTCATAGGTAATAATTCTGGTACCAAAAGCTCCCCTCCGACGTCTCTGAATGTTGTGTGTGGTGTGACTGCCTCCCCTGTAAGTGTTAGTAAACGAAGACGTGTGATGGAAGAACCCAGCATTTTGCTCCGGGATGAAGATGGAGGGGATACAAGGAGAAGATCCTTAAGAAGCAGGGGAGAAATTCGAAAGCCTGTACTAGAACCTGATGATGATGCATATCTCTTAAGTGACGAAGATGATGCTGACGATGTTGACGATGACGATGTTGATGATGATGTTGATGATGATATGGATAATGACAAGGACTATGTGCAGGATATTGAGGCCTATTACCCTGAAACTGAGGATCTTGAATCTGAACATGAGATGAATTATTCTATCTCTGATCCCAATGATGGTTCTGTAGAGAGCTTGGTATCCTCATGGAAACGTTGCATTACCGGTGTGGGTCAAGGATTTGAGAGTGTCGTTGAATTTCGTGATGCCCTGCAGAAATATGCGGTTGCTTGTCGTTTTGGGTACAGACTAAGGAAGAATGAATCAAACCGTGCATGTGGTGTTTGTTTAGTCGGAGGTTGTCCTTGGAAGATTTATGCATCATGGGTACCATCCGATGGTGTGTTTAGGATAAAAAAATTTAATCGAAGGCATACATGCGGGGGAGAATCTTGGAAATCTGCTCATCCAAAGAAGAACTGGGTGGTGAGTATCATCAAGGAGAGGTTGCAAGATAACCCAAATCAGAAGACTAAGAATATTGCCGACTCTATTTTCCAAGATTTTGGTATTGAGCTAAGTTATTGCACTATAAGACGAGGCATTGATGAAGCTAAAGGAGGACTTCATACATCATTCAAAGAGGCATATAAGCATTTGCCTCTTTTTGTGAAGAATGTACTTGAGGCAAACCCGGGAAGTATGGTTGATCTTGTGGTTGGTGAGGACAGAAGATTTCAGCGGCTTTTTCTGGCTTTCCAATCTTGTATACATGGCTTTCAAACTGGTTGCAGGCCGCTTCTTTTCCTTGATGCCATTCCGTTTAAGTCTAGGTACCATGAAATTTTGTTAACAGCTTCTGCCTTGGATGGAGATGATGGCGTGCTTCCAGTGGCATTAGCACTTGTGGATGTGGAAACTGATGAAACTTGGCGTTGGTTTCTGGAACAGTTAATGGTAGCTGTGCCCAGTTTACGACCCCTTACCTTTGTCTCTGACCGAGAGAAAGGACTAATGAGTTCTGTGTTGGAGATTTTCGAGAATTCCCATCACGGTTATTCCATACATTACTTGATGGAGGATTTTATGAGAAGCCTAAGAGGCCCGTTTCTTGGTGATGGGAAGCCATCCTTATCGTACTATTTACTGGCTGCAGCACGTGCTGACCGACTTGATGGCTTTAAGGTTTACACCGAGCAAATACGAAAAGTGTCTCCTAGAGCTTATGATTGGGTAATGCAGATTGAATCAAAGCACTGGGCCAGTGCATTGTTTGAAGGTGAACCATACAGCCATATAACGTCAGATGTGGGAGAGATCTACTCCAAGTGGATTGACGAAATCCAGGAGACTTCCATCGTCCAGAAGCTTGTGGCATTTGTGAGTAGAATTGTGGAGTTGGTGAACAATAGCCAGGATAAGTCAAAACAGTGGTTCAGCCAACTAGTGCCATCTAAGGAGGAAAGTCTAGTAGAAGAATGTAAGCAAGCAGGCGTGCTAAAAGTTTTCTTCTGTTCGGACACGCTTTTCGAGGTTCATGATGGGTCTGTTCAACTCGTGGACATCAGTAACCAAACCTGCAGCTGTTTCGGGTGGAAGCCCACGGGACTTCCTTGCCAGCATGCGATTGCTGTCCTAAACACAAAAGGCAGAAATCTATATGACTTTTGCTCTAGTTTCTTTACAGTTGAGAGTTACCGTTCAACGTATTCAGAAGCTCTGGGACCAGTTGCGATCGACTTAGCTGCCGTGGAGAATGAAGGCAGCAACAAGGAAGAGGATGAACAAGTACTTCCACCTCTCTTTTCCCGGGTTCAGGGAGTCGACAAGAGGATCAAAGACAGGAAAAGAGGACGATCCGTGTGCTGTACAAAGTGTGGAGGAGTAGGACATAACAAAGCGACTTGCAAGGATGATTGATCGTCTCGTTTTAGCCTGCTTCTGGTCATTAACATTTGTACAGAGGTTTGCATCGTTCTTCATAGATTTTGTTGGAACCGCGAGAAGATCCGGTAACGATTTCTCCCTCCCTCTTTCTCTCTCTCCCTTGCTGTATAAATTAATAAACTCATGAGTGTTATGCTTTGTGGTTAAGTATTTGCTTTAGGTACAATATCATTTTCTGGTCTTTCTAACAGTTGTTTGACTGCTGCTAAATTTCCTTTCATCTCTCTTCATCATTACTGATGCCAAACACTCAATTATACTCCATAGCTAGCTTCTGTTATCTGTAAATTAATCAAATAACAAAAAAAAAAAAAAAATTAAGGACTATATAGGGTGGTGCATCTAGAGATGGGCATTATGGGCTGCTAAAGGTTTGACAGAGAAGGAAGCATAACATTACTGACAAATAAGTTGAAAGATACATATTAGCTTGCAATGGAATACATAAGATATAGAAAATTTACTTTTATCATATGAAACATGATATTTAGCATTTAGTATCACCCAAGCATTGTATATATCATAAATTGTTAAAAATTTAGTCTTCAGATTAAACGATCCCCATTTTAGTGAGTAAGAGAATCTACCAAAGCCAAATCTGCTGAAACACTACGTAAGTACGTAGGACTTTCTACAAAGAGGATTTTTTATTGTCGGTAAACAGTATGTCCACCATTCCACAGAGAGAATACTGGAGTCGAACAAATCATAAATTAATGTAATTTTCTAAAGTAATTTCCTAAACTAATATATTGAGTCTACTTGATAAGAGCAGTTACTTTTAGTTTTTACTTTTATTTTTTACTTTAAAAATATTTACTATTCAAAGTTAACTTTTACTTTTAAAAATATGATATACAAAAAGAAAAAAAATAAAAAATAAAAATAAAAAAACGGATCTCAAAAAGAAGAAAAAATAAAATAAGATTTAATTAATTAAAACTAGTTAGTAATTATATATATATATCTATAAATTCTTTTAAATGATTCTGGGAATGAAGAAAAAAAAATAGAATATATTTATTTTTATAAGTTTTTGGATAAAAGCTCATCGTATATAACTTTTAAAAAATATGAACAAAAACAAAAAATCTTACTTTTAAACTAGAAAAATTGAAAAAGTGTATTTGGCTAAAAATAAACTTTAAAAACTGTAAAAAGTTTAAAAGTCTTTATAGTCTAACGCCAAGCAATTGACAAATATCATAATCTTCTCAAACTTTATTTAGATTATCAACCTTTATTGATCTTCATGATTTTCTCAGAACTCATCAGTCTCTCAATAGTACATTATCCCTACGAAGAAAGTGTTTTGTGAAAACTGAGGTGTGGTATACGCGTTTTCAAATTTACTAACAACATATTAACAGTGATCAATACCTAATGATACTCATACAACTTTGTTACATCGCCTACATATCCTCGGTCATGAGCAATCGCTATCTTTGGATTTCAAGGAAGAACTGATGTTTTGGTAAGGACTTAAGAATATACGCCATCGATTCACCTTCACCTCCACGAGTGTCTTCTTCTTGCAGCCATAGTTTTGTGTTCTCTTAAGCTACTCTCTCGATGGCTGCTTCCGCTCTCATAACGAATTGTTCAAATATGAGCAATGGATTCTAATGAGGTCATTATATTCAGAGTCAACCATAGTCATCATATTATGTGGAAATGTTGTAAAGTGAAGCTTATAAACCATCTAGAATGTTTCAAGATGATTAAATATGTCCAAGAACATGGAGAGAAAGACTTTGTTAGAATTAAAGAAGATTTACTCGTTGATTTGTCAGTTACCCATTAATTACCAAGGCTGATTGTATGCTAAAAATTCTTGACCCTCATTCATTCCAGAAGATGCACTTAGACGTCCCCAATACTCTCAAAACTACAATCATCTTCAGACGAGAATCAAGCTTCTCATTAAATCCTAATGACTATATTGGTAGCAGTCAAGACGCAATTATTTAGCTAAATTATCTCTTTTTGTTTGATTTTAAAAAATTTCTTTTAATGTAAATTACATTTTGTAAAATCTGTAAAAATTCATTGTCTAATCACCCAGATTTTTTATGAAATAAAACACTTCAAATTTATCTACAAATAAAACCAAAAAAAATTATCTACATATATATGCTCAACTCCCTTGTGATGGCATCCAGAACCCATTTCCTTGGGTGATATTCAAAATCCACCAGCGCATATGGAAGATTAGCATCAACTTCCTCCTGTGAACTATGCTTTATTTTCTCTTACCAAGGAATGCTTTATTTTCAGCAACCGGTATTTCAAAGACAAGCACCTTTCACTCAGCATCGTCAACGACAACAATTGATAATTTGGACTCAATTCATATGCTTTTGAGATGAAGCGGAGATTATTTCTTTGGTGAAACAAATATCAGTTCCATGGTTGTTTACCTTTGAGGATATATACAGCACAACACATACTAATGGAGTTCCTGCCAACTACTTCAAATGCAAATTTGTTCATTTTCTCTCTAATTGACAAAAGACTTAGATTAAGTCCTTGCCCCGTCCATCCATCACTACTTGGAACAAGGGTGCATTCTTGACCCAGTTCTACACACTCCCAATGAATCCATTTATGAAGATGCAAGAAGAGGCTTTGTAGGTGCCAACAAAACATCGGAGAAGGAACTCCGGAAGAGCAGTGGCCGTGGCGGGAAAGAAGGCACATAACCCTGTGGTAATATTTCTTGAACGATTCGTTTTCAGGTATAACCCGACCCAATGTTGATCCAACTGGGCGAAGTAAGATCCAGTGATACAACAATTCCACATGATCTCAAATCATTAAAAAAACTAGTAAAACACAATAATTCCCTTAATATAAGTGAAAGTTTACACAAGATTTGATATAGTAAAAAAATAATTAAGATCTGGTTTAGGAAGTTTTAAGGAATTAGACGAATATATTCACATAGTTTGATAAAATAAGATGCATGACACACTTGGTGAATCAACTGGAAACCCAGTCAACGACAACACTCTTGAGATAATGCTTCTTAAGCTTTCTCCTTCGAATGTTCTTTCCCCTGCATGCACATTTTTTTCACTTAGCTCTGCATCTACGCAATTACTAAAGGTTAGTGAAGTGAATTAGCAAACTTACCAGTACTGGTTGTGTAACACAAATTCATCCGTTGCTACTTTCTTCCCATCGTCATTACGGTTCCAGTGGTATATCGCATGTGTTCGGTTTTTTATCTCTAAAGTGGAGTGGCCGTAGCTAGCTTCTCGAAATGCAGAATAATCTGGTTGTGGTTCTCTAAACCTGAAAGAAAATGGAAAAAATAATTAAAACTCTACTACACATAAGCATCATATGAGATTTTCACAGCCATTATGATCAGCTCTGAAGATGCTCAGCTGCTCAAGTCTTAGCTATAGGTCGATTTTAATTAGTCTCGGACGGATTATAACAAATTAGAGAATCTTTTTTCTGTTCCAGAAATGTTATTGGATTTGTTCATGTCACTCACCTTCCCGCAAGACCTTCTTGATTTCCTCCGTCTCCAACTGTGATATAAACAGGAGCTGACTTATCTGGAACCGGGAAACGATCTCCGCTTGAGACATTATACCGCACATTTGATATTCGGTACTGGCATTAAAAAAACCACAAAGATGTTACTAAACAAAATGAAGTATACAAAATCTACATAGAGTTTATGGTAATAAGTAAGTACCGATCTCTCGTAGGCATGAACATGTCCAGCAAAGATTACATCAACTCTGTGTTCGACAAACCACTCCTCAAAAGCTGCTCGCATGCTTTCACCCTCCATGAAATGTGCTTCATTACTGTTATATATCGGGACGTGCATCAGAACAATTAGCCACGGAGTTTTCTCCCTGTCAACTCTTTTCAACTCTTCATCAAGCCATCTCCACTGTGGGGTATACTTCACTGCACAACCATCGGAAAGAGTCATGCTTACCAAGGATAGTACTGATACCTACTCATTGGTATAAACGTTTTTATTTATAAGTGAAGAGGACAATATTATAAGCAGATGATTTTATTGTGCAATTGAGAGATATTACCAAAAGGAGAATAACTGGAGAGGACGATGATATGAGCGGACGCACGCCTAACAGCATACCAGAGAGGATTGCTACTTTTTGAGGCTAAGTAGGGCGTAGTGTAACGCTGAAGGAAGTTCTTGAAAGGTGACACTTCCTCCTGTAAATGTTTTACATACTTGAGAACTCCGAAGGAAAAAAGAAACAGAAGTATGCCTCAACCTGAATAGTGAGAAGTTACAACTAAGAGCTATAAAAGAAATTTCAATTCTAATAAGTTCAATCATTTCAGAACTCATGTAACCAATTCGTTTCTTTGTTTAAGCTTACTGCTACTTCCTATAAGTGCCTGTATAAAATTGATCTATGTCTGAGAAACTGTTAAAAGGAAGCATTGGAACAACTCAACTATTATGAATATTCTACATCACCTATGTGTTACTTGTTTAGGTAGAAAGTTAGTACAATGTGACTCAAGATATTTACCATGTATGGCATGTAATCTATTTCGTGATTTCCTGCAGACCAGAGCCACGGTTGATAAGCGGTACTACGTTCCACGAAACGTCCCCAACTATCCCATCTCATACCAACGTCGTTATATTGATATCTGTCAGCATAAGAGAGATCTCCCAGAAATAAGACAGCTTGAGCTCCACTCTGCATATAGTGTTCCAGTGTGGACAACGAGTTGAATGTTTGGCCCAGATCGCCTACAATTCGTAAATTAAACTGAGTTTAGCAAGTACATAGCTGAAGAAACAAGTCAAGTAACTATCGTCGAGACAATTGAAATCTCTGCAATAAATCTTAAAGAACGAAGCCTGGGACAAGCACAAATGCATTAGATCAAAATACAATCATATCTATTTGAGAGACAATAGGAAACTTTTTATAAGTGACATACCTATAATACCAAACTTGTAAGAAGCATCTGGATGTACATCTGGTGGTGTAACAAACCAAAACTCCCGAGAAGATTCGCCACTTTCGATCTTGTAATAGTATTTTGTATCATACTGTCACAGCCAACGTATATAGATTAAGGGATTAACATCATCCCAATAAATAAGCGTTAATTCCACTTTGAACTGGGCCCTTTTTGGTAGGTCCAAAGACAAAACATTGAACATTGACTCCACTTTCTAAATGGGATGCATAACTATGTACAACATAAAAGAGAAACAACCATT